AAACTTAAAATTAACTCTCAATTTAATGGTTTTATGAGTGTTGTTAATTGTAGGACTTAATTTGATAGTTTTATAACATTCAGGTCCCGAATTGAGAAAAAAAATCTTTCAAGCCTAGAATTGATAGCTTACCTATATTTCGGGCCTTGTATTGAAAAAACTCCTAATTGTCTTTGAAATTTCAGTATGTCTTTGAAAATCCAAACAAATACAAGTGATAAATGAATTAAATAACTCATGACTTATTATTATTATTATTATTATTTTCTCAAATGAATACGTCAAAGCTTTTATAAAGTTTTGAAAATTTTAACATTTATTTTTTTAAAATTACAAACAAATGCACCATTTAATATATTCAGTTGAGATTTAAAAAAACTTTAAAGAATATGAGATATTCAAATTATTTATGATTGGAAATTTGGGATTTGTCTGGACATTTGTCACTTATTGCCATTTACAAAAAAATGCATATATAAAATCTTAAATCTGCTTATAAATTTATTGCGATTTTTTTAAAAAAAAAAAATGCATATATGAAATCTTAAAAAAAAAAAGTCTCACATTAGTACTCTCCTTACTCATTATGTATTTGTGATTTGTTTATATTTCTTAAGGTTATTAATATTTCAATAATTATCGGATGACTCGGCCTATGGGGTCATCCATAATAATTATCTACAAATAGTGTATTGATACGTGTCCTGTAATAAATACACATTGGACACATACTGTCAATACATAATGTTATGAATGACTCTATAAACCGAGTCATCCGATGACTCCATAGAATTATCGTAAATATATATTCGGTGTGTGAAAATGCTGCAATCTCATTACGGAACCATTCCTTCAGAATTTGTAACCGTTAATTCCTCATGTAACCGTCGTAGATAGTTGATCTAACGGTTATAAACCCCGACGGAATAGTTCCGTAACGAGACCGTAGAATCTCCCAAGAAAAATGTTGCAATCCCGTTATAAAACCATTCTGTCGGGATTTGTAACCGTACGTGTGCTCCGAAGTCTACATTGCTCTTTTGAGTATTTTGGCAGAATGTAGAGCTGCAACTATTGGGTAAATGCACATGGAAACATTTATTTCCTTATTGGTAACATAATTAATTATGACACTGTACTATTAATATTAACTTATACTAATAATAATAGTAGTATTGAATGTTAATAATAATAATAATAATAATAATAATAATAATAATAATAATAATAATAATAATAATAATAATAATAATAATAATAGTAGTAGTAGCCAAAATGCTCGCAGTGTTAATGCTATAGCACAACATATATATATAAATAGCATTAGGTAGTTTGAGCTACCCATGCTAAAGGGTACTAATGCGTAATAACTATTAGTGGCCCAATCTTCTTCACATTAAAGGTTAGATATTACATATATCTACCATATAATTAAATCATAGCAACAATCATGGAAATAAATTACACTGCAGTTAGAGCAGTTACAGTGTTCTTGAAATTTATACACACTCAATCGAACAAAAATGTTATGGAGTCATCGGATGATTTTCTATTCTATGCAGTCATCTACGGTCTACCACTTAATGTATTAACACATGTTCAAAATATATTTATAATAGGACACGTGTCAATACACTACTTGTGAATAAATGTTAATGCATCCATAAGTCGAGTCATTTGATGGCTCTATAACAAAACTGTTCAGTCGAATTATACGCTTGTACACCATTTATTTTCCACTTAAGAAATCTCCAATTTTTGTTTTATTTTTATATTATATCAATAATTTTTTAAGTATATGATGTTTATGCACCATCTTATAAACTGCAAAACGCAAAGTCATGGGCAGTGACATTAAAGAATTGGAAAAAGGAAAGTGATCGAACTTATTCATTCACACCGGGCCGATTTATCGTTCGCTCGCCCACGAGCCCAGCCCTACCGGGTCGTTCTGTATTCACCCGCCTCCGAAGTCACTTATCTATACTTAGGTCGAAGTCACTTATCTATATGCTGGGAGCAAGCCTGACTTATTCATTCACGTCGAGGCCTATCATCTATCCGCAACAAGCACGACTTATTCATTCACATTGAGGCCTCCGAGCCATTTGGCCGCAATGACGTTATTTACTTAAACATTTTTAGGAAAGTTCGAACTCCTATGTGAGTTGGGAAGGACGAAATGCCTTAAAACTAAAAGGCCAAAAAAGCCTGAAAACCAAACCTCCATCGTGGTTTGGGTCGGCCGAAAAATGCTAAAAAAATTAATCAAACCCTCATCATAGTTTGGTTCGGCTGAAAAATGCCTCAAAAAATTAACCAAA